GGTTTAAAATTTTTCTTGTCCATTTCACTGATAATGACGATGATGGTGATGTCCTTTTAATTTCTTTTCAATCTACGTAAATGAATGAAAACGTGGATACTTGCTGCGCACTGTAAGAATCGACAAAAGAAAAATATTTCGTCTCTGTCTCTAATACACTTTGATTTTTTTTCTTCCTTTTTATGTTTACAGTTTCATTTTTGTTTGGCTGGTCGCTATTGACTTCAAGGACTTCTTATATTGAGTATTCGTTTTTTTTTCTTTTAAAAATGCTGCAGGCAAAACGTTACTGGTAAAAATTTGTGTACACGCATTCAACATTAGATAGGAAAGAACAAGAACGAAACATATAAAAAAAAAGAACTGCATTATTATTATTTACAATAGAGAAGAAAAAAAAAGAATTTCTAAATAGGATTTAAACGTTTTTTTGGTCTTTCCTACTGTTTTTTCTTTCGGTTACCTTAGGATTTATTAGCAAAGGGCAATAAACGACAATGTCATATTAGTGGAGGATGAATCCTATTGTTGCCAACGAAGTGTGAGTTTGGATAAGTATTTGCGTATAGAATTAAATTTTGCTTACACCCAACCCCACTCACACCAGCACAAAATCATGTCTTTAGACTTACTTTAAGTATTTACAAGATCGAAACATATTCCTAGTGAACGTATAGCAAAACATATATTTTAGTTATAAGAATTTTGGTTGATGAAAAGTTTTTCATTTTATACAATATTGTTTTATAAAGACATAATCTATCGCCACCTATCATTGTATAGAACAGAAATGTCAAATGGTGTTTATGAATATTCAATCGATGTTAGACTTTTTCAGTCGACTATTCATTCATGCGTTATGATTATCAAATAATGTTTAAACTTATTTATTTATTTGACTTTAAAATAAATGAATTGAATATAAATTAAACAAAATGAATAAACTATATAAATCACTTGAAGTTATAAAATTACTTTCAACAACAACATCAGAAACATTAAGTATCAAGTAAATAATATGATTTTTTTCTGTTTTTCATTTTTCTTTATCTCTTCTCCAATGTTTTTCTCATTTAGAGGTAACAATGAAAATGATTATAATGTACCATTGACTGTCGAAGAAAATCTTAATCAACTTGTTAAAGTATTAGAAAAGAATTTTTTCTATAAGTTTTTATTAATTATAAAACATAATTCAAATGTTGGACCAAGAGCTTTAACAGGTTATTTTTATTGTTTGACTTAAATTTATAATAAGTTCTTTTTTTATAATTTCGATTAGGTGTTCTGTGGCGATTTGTCGAATTAGTAAATGCAATACATCCGAAAAAGATTCAACCATTTTATCAAAATATTATGAACTCTTTTTTCCTATTCTTGATCAATCGATTAATGAAAAAGAAGTTAAAGTAAGTAAAACAGAAATCTTTATCATCTAAGACAAGTTTTTAAAAGAAGTAATCAGAAAAATATCATGCAATTGAATAGAAGCATAGAAAAGGATTGCTCTAGTTAATTGACAACTTCTCAGCCCCTGTTTCGGTTAAAACTTCAAGCAGGAGAGGATGTTTTTCAGAAAATGTAGAATAGGTAGTCTGATACTATTTGAAGAAATACGGACTGAGAAACTATCCATCATTTGAAGCGATCCTTGCTCGAAAGTAATCGAATGTAGAGTTTCATGGAACTTAAGAATGGTTTAGTCATAGTAGTTCAGTAGCTATCGTTATAGTTAAAGTATGAAGTCGATTGAGAATGAATTTTTCTTTTTCTTTTCCTAATATTAATAATAAATTATTTTCAGGAACCTCTCATGCCCTATTCAGTCAATATGTTATCCCATGGTTAAAGCACGTTTTTTAATGATAAATGCAATTAGTAAGTTTTTTTTCTTTTTAATAGATCAATGATTTCCACATCAAAATCAAAATGCTAGTACACATTTAATAATTCATTATCTTGGTATTATAAAAAAATCTTATTCAATTACTTGGTTATTCAAATTTATTTGATTTCAATGAATTATTAATTTCAATTTAAATTGGATCTATAGAAAAAACTTGTGTTAGTGAAGCCTTAAAAACAGGTAGACATTGAGAGAGAAAAAACAAGAATTTTCTTTTATTTTTTCTTTTCTAAAACAATAGGTTATTCTAGTAAATAAAATGAATGATGAATTCGATTCAACATCAATGATTAATAATGAAAAACGAACATCAGTTGCTAAACTTGTGAATCAATTATATTTTTTTCCGATTAGATATATCCTCAATATGGATGGTACAATAAAAAGTGATGATGAATCACGTATTAGTATGAAATATGCTACACTACCGTGTTTATCGTATTTATCAACAATTTCATACATTTGGTTATCTTTACTGAAAGTATGTTTAATGCTTGCTTGAGGCTTCTTTTTATAAAGTTTCACTTCAGTAAAATAGATTTCTTTTATAATCCAAAATTATTTCTAATGTTGTAACAGTAGGAGGGCTTAGGTGAATGGGATCAATCTGGTAAAGAAGCTTGTGGCAGAGTTTAGTTGATGTCACTTTAATTGGTTAAAGTCTCACAGTTTTAGTGATAGATATAATAATTTCACTATTAAATTGTTGAAACAAAACGACATGGAACACATTAGAATCTGAAAATTCAAGAATGAAGATTCTCGACATAGATTCAGCAGTTCTAGTCCTATTTCTATTTTTAATTTTTTTTGAAACCAATAAAAGACTAGAACAAGGTCATATTCGAAAAGATATCAAGTAGAACACTTTATTGAATAGGTTAGACATACAAAAGTTTTGAAGTCCACAGGCTGCATTTATATATCTATACGTCAGAGATTGAAATAATAGAACCATACAACTCCACCAGAAAAAGTTCTAAGCCGAAGTATGAGTTCTGTGCATATTTAGTACGAAAGAGATGTTCGTTTTTTTCATTATGATATGATACCAATTGCATCTTCTAAGAAATTTTTCTTTAGTCTTTGAACGTTTCTGATTAAATATAATTTTGTAAGGTATATGAAATTGCTTAATGAGAAAAATGAAATTCCAATTTCTATGTTACTTGTAATATATTAAAATCTATCAAACATCTAGATGTCTCTTTTTTTCTTTTCTTTAAGTTATTACATATCTTTTATCTTTATGTGAACATGGTGATCCACATTTACGTGGTGCATGTGCAAATTTACTAGCTAAATTAATTCATTATGAAAGTGTCTGATCTTCTCATATGTTTCATTTTCATATAAACA